TGTGTGTGTGTGTGTGCGTATATACAGTGTGTATATATATATATATATATATATATTAGTGATGTCAAACGATTAATTGCGATTAATCACATCCAAAATAAAGGTTTTTGTTAACATTAATATATATATATATATATATATATACATACAATTATTATTTAAGTAAAAGAATTTGAGATAAATTATTTATTTTTGAATTAAATGGTTTTGTTCTATATGGACATATGGTATTAATTTGAAAAGTGAATTAATCTGAATTAAAGTGAATTGGACTAAAGTGAGGTCTGAAAAGAAATGATTCAAAATAAAGTGGTTAATTTTTTTTCTGGCAAACTTTGATGAGACTGAATGAATGCACAGCCACAGGATGCAAACCTTCGCATGAACGGTTACATTATTTACATGGATGTTTCATCCGTTTTTTCTCTCTCTTTCTCCCTAGATCTTTCTCTCCGCCCCACCACTCTGTCCATCCTCTCTGTTCGAGCTGATGATGCGTTGCTGGAGTCGTGACATTGCAGATCGCCCCACTTTTCACAGATTGTATCAGGCCCTGCTAACTTTTGCGCCCCACTCATGACCGAAACCTGCTCTACTGAAATAACCTGGAGGAAAACTGTTATACAAGTCTTCTGACTGCTCGCCAGTCACTGAAGTAGAGCAGGAACATTATAGCCACAATGTAGCGTCATTAGAGCGGTAGAAATCCAAAGGAGGAGAGATCTAGAGATGATGAGATTTCACAAAAGGCATTCATTCATTTATCCACTCACATATTCATCTCCATTGGGACTCAAAGAGCTTTTTTTTCCAATCCATAGACACTTGAGATTTTTTTTAGACTTGTTGTTGTTCTTTCCCTTTTTTTCTTTATCATACATGTTATTTCTGTGTCTTTTTCCCAGAAGAACAGTGACTCTTGAGCCTACTGTATATTCTAGGCAGAAGGAACCAACTGGACAAATGTTGTGTTTGTCAAAACTGTGGTTGTGTATCGTTAAGCACTGCTGTCTTTGGTTTTTATTTCATTTTTGTCTATTTTTGTTCCTTATTTACCCCCACACTGGAGTTACCGTGTCTTAAGATATTATTTGTTGTTTTGCTCTCTAAATATGAATGTTTTTACAGGTTCTTTGGATATAGCCGGGTCAGAGACTTGCTCTGCCTGGATCTAGCAGAACTACTGTTATAGTTAGATTAAAAACCCTTTCGGAGGAGAAAGGAGATGGTTATAGAGCCAACAATGGACTGACGTGCAATTGAATGCACTGTTTCTTCCCCCCAACTTCTAACAGGCCACTTTAAAGTCAACATGAAATCAGAACAGACCAATGGACCAAATAAGACCATGTTTTGGGAATGATTCATCCGTGCAGGTTTCCAAAGAAGACAATGTTTGTTGTTGTAGTATTTCATCAAAATGTTATAACTTGGTTCTTGGTTAATGTTAAAAAAAACAAGAAGCATTTCCATTGTGATACGTCAAGAGGTTCTTGGGGCATATTTGACCTTCACGCTCCACATGCAGATGTCCAATTATAGAAGTAAAATAGGTTGTTAATGCAATTTCATGTTGGCTTTAAAGGAATAGTTCACCCAAAAATGAAAATTTGCAGAACATGTTCTCACCCTCAGGGCATCCAAAATGTAGATGAGTTTATTTCTTCAACAGAACAGATTTGGAGAAATGTAGCATTACATCACTTGCTCACCAATGGATCCTCTGCAGTGAATGGGTGCCGTCAGAATGAGAGTCCAAACAGCTGATAAAAACATCACAATAATCCGCAGAAACAAAGAAAGCAATATTATGGACAGATGACTCGAATTTTAGCCTGACGCAGCAATTTAAGCTAAAAACACCTTAATGATGGATTTGTTTGTTACAAATACGCAGCTTTTCACTTCACAAGACGTTAACTGACGGACTGGAGTCGCATGGATTATTGTGATGTTTTTATCAGCTGTTTGGACTCTCATTCTGACGGCACCCATTCACTGCAGAGGATCCATTTGTGAGCAAGCGATGTAGTGCTACATTTATCTAAATCTGTTCTTATGAAGAAACAAACTCATCTACATCTAGGATGGTCTGAGAATGACTACATTTTCAGCAAATTTTCATTTTTGGGTGAACTATTCCTTTAAAATCCAGCAATGTTTCACCACCACAGCCAAACAAACTGAATTTCAACTGTTGCAAAGGAAGACACAATACTTCCTTGTTATTGGCATCCAGTTCTACAGTTGCATTGTTGTTGTATCTAAATGAACTAAGTCTGGCTGAGGACATACAGGACCAATAATATCAATATTGTTGAGATCCATTTTTTTTATCTTCGATCTCTGTAGAAGGCACATGATTATGGGGGAATATGTATGTAAGTTTAAAAGTATTCAAAGCACATATTTCTTTCTTTTAATCCACTTTAATGTTTTATAAATGTCATTGAATGTTTTTAGCATAAGTTTGTGAATGAATGAGTGTTGCACCAAAAAAACTTTTGGTACACTACGATGTAACCAATCTGATATTTCCGTCTTTTATCATCAGTGTGTACTAGTTTCTACATTCCTTTTCTGTAGTTTGTGTTTACTGTATTTCAGAAATTGTCTTCAAATGTACAGGAGACATTTTATTGTTTGGCTGCTGAAAGGTTCGGCTATGCAGGACGTTTTGAAGAGTCCTCCAATAGCACTGGGATTTCGATTGAATGTTGGTGGTAGGAAAGCTTAGGAGAAGGGCAACCACTAAAACTCAATCTCCCAGAAGACTTTGCTGAAGTGAGCCTGAGGTAATTTCTGTTATTACTGATCAGAGTTTGCTTTTCACTACATATTTAGAGACCAAGAGTGCATGTCTGTGAATGCGTGATACTGTGAGTGTTTTTTTTTATATATATATATATATATATATTATTTTGATTATTTTTTTATTATTATTGATTATATGAATTTTTGACTTTGGTTTGACTGTGGACTCAGTCACTGAAGTCCAAAGGAATAGCTGATGTATTAATTTGTGAGTTTGGCCTAGACACCCTTCAAATGTCTAGAAAAACTTCTACAAAGGGTACATAGTACAACACTAAACAATCTTGGCAGAGCAGTGTTACTTGGACTACAATCATCTGAGCAAAGCCAATTGATATTTTATAACACCTTTTCTATTTCTAGTTCTACACATACAAATTTTTTTCACATATAAAGTGGGGAATGTCTTTCAAACACATTAAAGGATTTCGATTGAATGTTGGTGGTAGGAAAGCTTAGGAGAAGGGCAACCACTAAAACTCAATCTCCCAGAAGCCTTGCTGAAGTGAGCCTGAGGCAATTTCTGTTATTACTGATCAGAGTTTGCTTTTCACTACATATTTAGAGACCAAGAGTGCATGTCTGTGAATGCGTGATACTGTGAGTGTTTTTTTTTTCAAGTGAAAGTAAATGTACCTTATTTTATCATTTAGTATTAAATAACAGTCTTTCGTTCAAACCTTTTAACTCTCTGTATGTGTCCTTCATGTACATTACATAAGCAGAGTAGATACTGTATGTATAGTAATATATTGGAGACTAAGGAAAACTTGTTTTCTTTCATCTTTCGTATTTTCCATAATAAATACCGATTTTGCTGTAACTGCAGTGTTAATGCGTTACTTATTCTGAATACTATTTTATTTTTCTAAATATCTGAGTGTACACTAAAAAATGCTAGGTTAAATATAACCCAACGCTGGGTTAAAAACAGTGTTACTTGGACTACAATCATCTGAGCAAAGCCAATTGATATTTTATAACACCTTTTCTATTTCTAGTTCTACACATACAAATTTTTTTCACATATAAAGTGGGGAATGTCTTTCAAACACATTAAAATGCACAAATTATTTCTTATTTACATGTTCAGTAATGCAGGGATTACCAAACTTTTTTTGTCAGACAAATCTCTTCACCTAATATATTTATTTGAATTCCCCCTGAGATTTTAAGATAATAAGTTAATAATTAAAGCAGCACTATGTAACTTTTTCTGTTCAAAATTTGCAAAATGTATATAATGAGCGAGTACATCATGAATTCATCTTCCAAACCGCGTTTTTGTCTTATTCCGAATCACTACGGTACACTTAATAAGTACTTATATTTGGACTATTGTAGTCTGGTCGGGTCGTCACCGCTGCGGTGTAACACATACCTGCGTGAATCGCCATAGACATAAACTTAGAGAAGTAGCTCCGGTTGGAATGTTCTTCCGCGGGATGTGTGCAGTTCTGTTTATTAACCGCTAGAGCGCCAAAAGTTACATAGTGCTGCTTTAAGTAACACTTTTGCATGCTCACGGTTCTCTGACAATGGTCACATGACATGCAGGTAAACAAATTATTTTTTTAGTAAGTGTTTTATTTTGATTGTTTTTATTTTAAAATGATTTATTGTAATTTTACATTTTTATGATTTAATTACTAGCTTTTCACTAAACTCGTGAATCCCCTACAGTTCCTTCACGATCCCCAGTAACCTACGTACAGTAATGTAATGTTTAGTGCACTTCATTATATTAATAACAAGAAATGTAATATATTTTCTTTTTCTTTGCATTTTTTATATCAGTATATGGTACGAGATTATCCTATTTAAATCAATATGATAAACTAGTTAGGTCAAAAGTAATCAAAAAGTAGTTTGATTATATTACCTAAAATGTGTAATGTAACGGATTACGTTACTAACTACATTTTTGTCATGTAATTTGGAATCAGTAACGGATTACATTTCTCAAGTAGGCTTAATCTGCCCGCTCTGGCGATACCGTCACTGTACCTTAAACCACCGCAGTATTTTGTCAAATATAACCAAACGGAATTCATATAATCCAAATACAAATGTAGTCATATACCCACTCTTAAACTTAAATTTCAGTTTGTGAGAAGAGCGTGTGACTCATTGTGATCTTTATAATAACCCATTGTGTGAGAATACGCACACATGAGCGAGAGATTCCTGCAGCGTCACGTGATCGTCAGACTCAGGGAAGGAAGACTGAAGGGGAGGAAAACTGTCTGCTGGCGACCAATAACACGCTCAAAAGGCAGGTTAAACATCGATATAATCTCGAAACGACGTACTGGATTTCTTAAGCCTTTCCCTTTATGAGTTTCTCTATCTTTGTAACGCGGCTTTGTAACCGTTTTACGCTAGTTACGGGGCTGCATTTGATGGTTTAAAATCAAGCAAACCGCTCGAGCTGTGAGTCGAGAATGACAAAGACTGTAAGACACGTTGACTTTTTTTCCCACACGTTATGCTTATTATGCATGATTTGCTTACTTTACGGGTTTAAATGAGTTTGATCATGTTTAATTAGCTTTTAACACCGTTGTTGTTGTGTGCTACAGATCTGACTGTATTTGTGATGCTCACTTGAAATGCAGTGTATGGATGTTATTTCAATGTTTCTAGATTCTTGAACGCACGTTGATATAAAACTGCTGTCTGGATCACTAAAACTTTTGCAGTAGGCTCTAATCGGTGGTTGGGTCAGTAACACTGTGTTTTTGCTGTGACAGTACCATGGAACAGTATCAGATGGTTAATACCATGGTATTTTGACGTATACCATGATATTGACATTTTTGTTTCATGGTGTTTACATAAAACTTGAAGCTGTTTCCAAGAACACCATTGGTAATACCACAAAACATGTACAAAACATGATACTACCATGGTGCTTATTGTTTCCTTTTTTGTACATGCATATTAAAGATACAAAAAAAAGTGATCAGATATCAAAGGCTAATACAGTAGTTCTTTGACATGGTAGTGTATCATGACATTTAGATGCAAAGATAATCCTTTCCTGGAGTACTGTGGTAGTAGCATAGTAAATGTCCAAGGCACTTCAGAAAATACCAGGGTATACCATAGTATCTTTTCAGGCTTTTCACAGCCATGAAAAACATGGAGATGTCAAGAAGTTAAAAACATTTAAAATAAGAGTTTTAGTTACTTCCAGGCCTGGAATAGTCATTAATATTATTTGTATATAAATATTATGTTGTATTATATATATATA